TACAAAGTGTTACAATAACGTTGGGCGTTGGACTAATTGCGCACCTTTCCACCTTTTGTCCTTCCCATGTAAATGTATGTGTGTTTATGTATGCATGTCAAGAAGTAACTGTGTGAGCATGATATACTATTAGACAAGCCTTGCCAATACTAAAGCAATTTATTTTGTGATCATGTGTGTATATCTGAGTATGGTACTATATGGTATATTAGGGTGGTAAAAAAAAAACCAAAAAGAGAAAAAAGACAGACAAGTCTATGAACTTTGCAATTTAAAATGTTTTTTCATTGAGTTATAAAGTTAAAAAGGAAAACAAATTTGCCCTCAAATAATCAAAATTCAACCGCTTATATCTTTTAAATGGCTTGATTTACGAAAATAACGAATAGACTTTTTTTGAAGAGCGTTCACTTTATAGTAAAATCCACAAAACAAAATATGTTTTTAAGTAGTTGAAAGCGAGATATGATCTGATAATAAGGAAGCAATAGAAAACCGTTAGGCGGTGGACCTTTTCGTTACAATTAAAAGTTCCTAATCGGAGAGCTTTACTTGGAGGTGTCTATCAAGCAATTTTACCGAGCGAAAAAACATTTGTTTCTTTGACCCACCCTAATAAATATAACATATATACATAGTCGGTATGTTTGTTGGTCAGCCTCCGTTTCACACATTTGTGTACATTTGTCTGATGTCATGCTGGACCAACACCATACAAGGTCGCTTCGAAAGGTAACGTTCCGCCTCCGTCCATGACGAATCTTCCACGGACCAAGAAATGCAGGCGGCGGGCAATAGCTATGCGCTTGCAATTCTCCATAGAAATGACGTAGTTGAAAGTCTAAATGTTCTTTGTGCATTTAAGGCACAAACACACATATACTCATGTATAGGTAAATATGTATATGTGGCTTCCACAATATAGTCAATTTGTACAAGGTCTTTCGGTTCGATTAGTTCTTGTAGCCGTTGTAGTTAATCAAATATTGACAAGCACGATTTGTAGTTTGCCTTGCATCCATTTGCTAGTAGTTTAGTTTTTTTTCTTTTTCTATCGTCTCCTCCAATAGTTTCTAACGTTCTTTATTATTGGTCACTTTTTGAACGATAGATTTTGCAGTGGCTAAAAGTTGAAGGTGGAGGCGGTGCGGCGTTCATCAGTTGCTGCAACATGCAATTGTAATTAATTTGAAATGGTTGTTGTAATTGTTCGTGGAATGCATGCGAAGGACATTCAGTGATAGCTCACAGGCTGTTAAGTGTCATTCGGAATAGCGTTTTAATTGAAACCGATAAAAATTGCTATTGCGTCATAGAAGAAATGGTGGCTATATGGATTGGTTGGATGTAAACTTTAATGGATATGGCGACATAGGAAACGTTATTCACACATATCTACACTCAAGAGTAATGAGTTCAGAGAAGTGGCCTGGTTAGCAAGATCTCTCCGGCACATGCTGTAATCGTGTTAAACTAAAAGCTTTGTGTTAGACATCATTTAAACCCCATAAGAAATATAAAAATGTTCATCCAAGCTTCATAATAAATTATTCAATTTAATCATATTATATCACTCACTGGGAAAACGAGTTTAAAGTTTTGTACTAAAATGCAAAAGGGCTTGCAGAGCAAAGAGGCATACGTACTATAATAATATTAGTTTATTTGTAACACTTCGAGGCCTAATTTTTTCGCGGTATCAAAAGTGGATATAATCGGCCCATATGATCAACTAGGTACAGTATTCCGAATTCCAAATAATGGGTTTAGTAAAAAGAAATCCATTCTTTTTCCATTAAATTTAGGGTCTTATTTAGCATATGTAGTTCCATTGATCCGATTTAGGTCAAATATGTAGGTTATGTCATTTTGAAGGTAATTTTGCAATGCCACTCTCATAGACACCCTCGTCCCTTATGATAAAAAAACTGGGGCTGTCAATTTTCCGGAGCTTCTCTTGAAGCTCATTCGTCACCAACAGGTAGTAATCGCTTGATGCCAGGTCCGAACTATAAAGTGAGTTCAACTAAACTTCCGGAGCTTATGGCGAGTCGCTCTCGATGTGTGTATCCTGGCGTTGTCCTGATAGACGGCCACTTCAAATCAGCTGCTTCCTACAGATGGTCCAATTGTTGACAGTACAGATCTGAAAATGAGTTTGGCCATAGGGAAGCAGCTCATAGTATATAATTCCGGAGCGTTAATATTGACCTGATATCTGCTTCAGAAATGGACCGATTTTTTTTTTGTATGTCAACTCGTGTTTGCGAAAATTAAGCAATCGAAACACTATCTCGAAATTTAACGGAACGGAATCGACGAAACGAAAATTCCGCAATTGGCTTTTTCAATATCAGGATCACAAACATTATTCACATTGCTACTCGCCTGGTCTGCGTTTTCACCGGTCCTTAAATAATAATTAGTCAAGCAATCACAAAACTGTTTGAGTTTTTACACCTTGACAATTTTTTAGCAAACTTAATATATTCTAAGTTTTCCACGAAGTTTGTCACACCCAGAAGGAAACGTCGGAGACCCTATAAAATATATATATATATATAAACGCTCAGCAAGACGAACAGAGTCGATTTAGACATGTCCATCTGTATGTAAATACGCGAACTAGTTTCTCAATTTTTGAGATATCGATCTGATAATTTACACGTCCATTTCTCCCAAAGAAGCTGCTCATTTGTCGGAAACGCCGATAACAGATCTGATATACTGAACGATCGGATTCAAGTGCTTCTATCGAAAACTGCCATCATTGGACGAGATATCTTCAAGTGGGTTATTGTCTAAAGCAATAACTGCCATACAAACTAAACTCTCGAATTCAAATTATTGTAAGAAACATTTTGTATTTGTGAAGGATATTAAGGCTTTGGTGCAGCAGAAGTTAACTTTTTTTCTTGTTATTTCAAACATTGCAAATTCTTTTTCGTAAACACCTCACTTTGTCACTTGTAATATTTTTTTAACATAACGGTATGAAATTGAGCTGCTCACAATGTCCTTAATTCATTTTAATATGCAAAATTACATGAAGGTATGTATGTAATTTATAATATTTTTCATAAAATTTTGCTTTTAGGAAAGATTTAATTAAAAGCCAAATATTTACATACATAGGTTCATAGGTTGTAGAGGTACTTAAACGTAATTGAAGCATAGATATAAAAATGTAAAATTAAATTACAAAGCATAAATATATTCAATGAGCAATTTTTTGAATTGGAAAAACAAAAAAAAGGCACAAAAACCACTGAAAATGCACGCAGAAATGGCATCAGAGAACACTTTGAAATTCAGGTGATAGAAATAATTCCGCGTAAGAGCTTTGAAATGCAAGCGAGGTCTGGCAAATATTTGCATATAAAAGTGTGAAGCCATTAGCATTTGGCGTTTTGCTATTTGGTCGCTGATTGAATCGTTGCACGGTGAAGCATTAACCAAAAATTGGTGGTTGAAATCATAATTTTTGAAATATCATTCAAAAGCCATAGTTAGGTTGAGTTATTTATATTTTTTTTATATACGAGTATAGTATAGATCCTAGTTGCCACATGACATAATATAATATTAAATAAGTCCCTGCTTGTATTCTATTGTAAATATATCAAAATAACTGTTCTACAATATATCGATAGAAGAAGAAGCCGTGTACTGACTTTGCTGACAGATCCGTCTATATTAAGTTTCCAGAGTCTATTTGTAATTTGAAACCCAATCCTCTACTAGAAGTATCAATAGCATCAATATCACAAGCAATAAATACTCGGTATCAAAACAATAATTTAGAGGAATTTCGTGTTCATGTATATTGTTTACCGTGCAGTCGATCGAGTCATCAAAAATGATAAACCAAACGAACTATCAAACTTCCATTGCATTAGAAAATAAAGCATTCCCCTTCTTTCCTTCATAAATGATGAAAACAAACTGTTTTAATTTCTCTACTATTATTCTTATCGATCGCGCAAACAGATCATGTCATCAGAATGCCATTTAATTTACTGAACTACTCAACTTTTTCGATCGATGGTTCTATATACTATATTGGTTATTGTTATATTAATATCTTAACAATCTAGTATTTGTTATGATTAAAGCATAGTACAGAACTCTCATGAAATTTTAGGGGAACGTAATATGAAACTCATTCCAAGAGACTTTTGTAGCAATTCAACACGGAAAAGTTTTTTTGTTTCTTTCCGACCAAATCCATCTACACCAAAGACATTAGGTATAAAAGAATTGCATTCATGACTTTTTTTCTTAGGTTTTTTATTAATTTACCATTAGGGCTCAAAAACCAGCCCCTATTACACTTTATTTGCGCATTTAGAGCGAAGTGCTCAAAATACCCTTAATTGTTTTTAAGAGTTCACTCTCAAACGGATTTTTGTTTGCTTTATAACACAAAGTTTCTAGCAGCTTTTTTAGGCTTATACATCAATTCTTCCCGATTGTATTTTTAAATACGAACCAAACCAATTCATCCCACTGTGCGCTGCTTCGTAGATGATTGTCTGCTTGGTTTTGTGACTTGTTTGCAGCCCAAAAACACCCGGGGCTTTTGCAAAAAAATTGTTCGCTAATCGACTGCAACATCAAATGCACAACTGCACCGAACACAATAAGAAAAAAAAACACCAAAGTGTGCACTTAATCATAAGGACGCTGTTAAGTCAATTTGTTGCAATGGTGAATAACACCTTTACAAGCCGAGCTGGAGCTTGCAACGAGGGCATTGATGCTGATGGCTCGACTGTCAAAATTTCATGCATATTCAAATTGAAGCTCACTGCAATGATGCTCACAATGCAACGCTGTGGCCTTTGATAAGCAAATGAGAGTGCAGCGAAATGGATGCGGCTGAAAGGGTTTTCAATTTATGCATAAAAGCAATGTTTCGGTGTGGATTTATTGTTGCAACTGAGCGCATTGAATACCTAACTCAATGAATATTGCGATGAGTGAGCTGAATGAGAGTGTATGTTGCTGCTGCTGAAAGCCACTAAAAATGCCTGCAATGAAGCAAAATGGTTTTCATTGCACTTTTTAATTGCTTCCAATAACTTTATTCATATACAATATTTTCAATTAAATAATATTGCTGTGAAATAAAAAAGTTATTTTTCAATTTTCTCTTCATCGCGTGGACTGGGGTAGTATTTGTGTAGGAAGTGTTTGCCAAAGAAGCGCGTATCACCATTGGCGACGCGTTCACGTAATTTGTTGCACTTTGGCGAATCGACACGTAAATCTGCCGGGCAACCATTCCAAAACTGTCGCCACATGCAACTATGGAAGGCCAATGGCGCACGACTACAGCCCTCCTCCTTCAATTCACCCGCCTTTTGCTTTTGTTCGCGCTTCTCCTTCACCTCAGCCAGGCAGGTGTCTACATAGCCTTCAATTGCATCGAGCTTCCATTGTACGGTACCGATTTGTTCTCGCAATCCCTTCAAAATAGCCTCACGTTGCAGTTCGCCATGCTCATCGAGACTTTGGAACCGTTTCGCTACGCATTCGGTTATACAAATCATTTGTTCTTTAACTTGCTGCATCTTCTCACAGTCGAAGGGATCAAAGGCGTCATCAGCTGTGGCGAGAATAAGAAGCAAAAATTAAATTTAATAATTTAAATGTTTTTTAAATCTCGAATATATAATATTTGCCAATTCGGCGTTTAGTAATAAACACTGATCTAAAACACGAAGTATAACAAAAAAAAATATTAAACTCGACTTAATCTATTTGAACGAAAAACTATTCCTTTAACTCACTTTAATATGTTTAATGTGCATATCACCTAAACCACTAAAGCTATAATAACAAAATTCACTGAGAACAGTGTGAAAATGGGTGAAATCGGGTGACAACCCCGCCCACTCCCCATATAACGGTACTGTCAAAAACTACTAAAAGCGTGATAAATCAAGCACTAAACACGTCAGAGACATTAAGTTTTATTTCTGAAATGGTATGACATGACTTTATAGAAACAGCGTTCAAAATTAGACAGTGGGCGTGGCACCGCCCAATTTTAGGTGAAAACCCATATCTTGTGATCTGCCCAACCGATTTCAACCAAATTCTGTACATAACACTTTTCTCATAGTCATATGTTGTAGTGCGAAAATGGGCGAAATCGGATTAAAACCACGCCTATTTCCCATATAACACAACCTGAAGTAATTTCCCGGGATTTGATCCTTGCAAGTTGAGAGAGTATAAAATGTTCGGTTACACCCGAACTTAGCTCTTCCTTACTTGTTTAACATAATTTTCATATAGAATTGGAAAGCTTTTGTCGATAAATTTGGCGGCACAGTCTTCACAAACAAAAATTAGCTGATTTATAGATCTTCAACGGCAGTGGGAACAGTCTAGATTAGTGAATCGATTAAATGTGATCTAATCACTTCAAATTTTTGGTGGGAACATGATACATGCATATGTCTTAAAAGTTAACATTATTATATATAGCATGATCCTATTATTAGAAGAGCAAGTTTATCTTCTTGGCAAACATTAAAAATTTAACTCACCAGGTTCGCCTTTCAAATCGGTAATGCACTGTTTTTTCACGCTTTTGAAGAGCTCCAACTGATCACCGTTCACATTACCGCCCTTACAACACTGCATATCCTTTTTCCAGTTACGCTTAGAACACTCTATGGCATCTATGGATTCGCGACGTGTTCTATGCGAATACACTTCGTCTTCTTCGTAATGAGACTGCAGCTCCTTGAAGAGATAGTCATCTAAGGTGTCAACATTAGCAATAACATTAGTTTATAATAAAATAAGTTTACAAATATACATTCACCAACTCACTGAAGGCACTATCATCGAAGTCGTAAGCGTTCACACCCAACAACACAAACAGCAAAAGTAAACCCGCAAAACACTTCATCTTTAAACACTATGCTTTTAACTTGCGGCGATCACAAGTCGTTACTGTCAATATTTTCGCGATGCCAAAGCTTTTATATGCAAATACAAATACGCATACACACATAAAAATGAGTTGAAAAATGAATCAGTAGCCGAATTGAGAAAAAGAATGTGGAGATGTAATTGCTAGAAAGTAATGTTGTCATACACGCATTGGTTCATCATTCGTTCGCAAAGGGATGTTTCATTTATTACGCTAAATAAAAATCGGGTATCGTTCCCATTATGTAGGCCCGACTGTCGTGGGACGTTCCGATTGCTTAAGTACAAAGCGGAAACGGTATTCATAAATCTCGAATGAGCCTTTTCCCTTACAAGAAAACTGTAATTAATTTGAACCCCTATCTAGTTATCTGAACTTTATTTAAAAATAATGCTGAGAACTACTTGTGTATGAATCGACAACAGTCATGAAACTAAAAACTCTCGCATGCCTTACGCGACGCTTCATATTGAGAAGATACCTGGAAGAGTCCTTATTCTCGCTCACTTAATCAACATCTTTATGCAAATATACAAGAAGGAACAAACTCGTCTTTATTTTCGTCTGACGCGTCGAAATTCACCTCTAAAGCTGTCTACCGTTTGCGAAGTTAGAGCGGAATACGCAATCTCTTATTTAGTTAAGCGATAAATATTGTACTTCCACACAGTGCCGGTTTATTTTTAATTCGGAATTAAATTGTTTGGACACACCTTTGGGTTTAAATCGTATAAAAATCGATTTGCTTACTAGTGGACCTATGAAATGGGCATCAATTCTCATAGCTTACTAATCCATGGTAGCTTTCCGTACTTCGAAGAGCCCCAAAGAGTCTAATGTGGTTGCTAAAATGCATATAGCTGTATTCGAAGAATATTTATAAGTAGTCTTCGACATTTTCTCGGCACTTCGATATTATCTGTTTCATAATTTTATATTTTCCCTTCGTTCGGAGATACCATCTGGTCGACGTAAGTATATACGTTTACGTGTTATCTGTAACGGTTATCTATACTATATTCCATTAATGGCTCCGCTGCCTAGGTTAATATACATACATACTTATATACAAATGAACTTACTCGGGGGATTTTCCTTTGTTTAATATATATACTTGTGTATAATAAATTTATATGTATGTATCGCACAGCATTGAAAATCATATACAGATGTAATTTATGTCTACGAGTGTACGTATGTAACTAAATTCAAATACTTTGATGAAATATAAATACTATACTATATGCAGAAAGTGATAATTTTCAGATGATTATATTATATATAGATTATATTAGATTAGGGGAAACTATTTTCTATGAAAACGACAAAACTTATATTATATAAAAAGGCCCACCATTAAAGACCCTAATATGAGACATAAGGCCCAACTACATTAAAATTGGACACGTTTTCATATATACTTGTAGATACTCTTTCTTAAGCTCTCTTGTTAATATTTCCAATTTCGAAAATTTTGATTTTCAAAAGTTTCAGCTTCAGTCGTCAGACTTTACGCGCGAAACCTCTGCTGGCAAAACTAGTTGGTTACAAATCATGACAACCTCAGTACTTTCTTTCAAATATTTGATACTTTTATCTGAAAATTCGTAGAATAGTTAAACTTACGGGTGAATGTTGAAATAAATAATCAATATTAAAGAGTTGGTCGTATTGTTGGTGGATCTGCCAATAGTTCACACTAAGAAGCAATATCTCCAAATTGTTTTCTGTAACAGGGTTTTTACGTCGGGTATTACAAACATTATATTATTATTCTTGGTAATACTGTCATAACTTTCAAATTTTAATTTTTTTTTTGTTTTATTAATATTCGAATACGAATTGACAAACAGAAAAGAAGAAGATTAAAATAGGCCACTTTGAATATAAAGAATGATGTGACTTTTCTTCAAAAACAAAACACAGGAATTATTAAAGAAATTTAAATGTTTTTTATTTAATGCGAAGTACAAGTACGAGTATTTTCAACTAAATCATGTCGTATGTCATGAATAGCACGTTCAATATTGACTTCTAAAGCTTGAAGAGTGTCTGGTTTATTGCTAAAAACCAATGATTTCAAATAACCCCACAAGAAGTAGTCTAATGGTCATTCAATCTAACAAATTTCTTGAGATTATCGAATCACGTGTGGCACGTAGATCCGTCTTGTTGGAACCAGATGTTGTAAAGATCAACTTCTTCCAATTGCGGCCATAAAAAATTGGTTGTCGTCGATCTACACCACCCATAAATTGGCAAAAACGCACGAAAAGTTGCAATTGGAGGGATATTTTGATAATAAAATTGAATAATTTGTAAACGTTGTTCTTGCGTATATCTTTCCATGATGCAATTTAAAACATTACTGAATACAATGAAAAATATTACAGATCATGACATACTAAAAATGGCCGAAACGACACTTAGAAATAACATCATCCCTATTGGAAACCCGCTACATATTACATATGTATGTAAGATTTGATGTCATTGACTTTGATTAAGAAACTATCTAAAACTTAATTAGCAAGTTTCTAGCATTTATAATGCATTTAAATTACTTTAATAATTATCACGTATAAATTATATATAAATAACCCCATATATGCTTGTATATTAGGGCTATCTCGAAAGCGCTCAATAGCCTCTAAACAAAAATGTTGAGCTCTGCTTCATCTTTTATAAGATTAGCTCATATTTACCGTTGATTTTAATTCAGAACTATTATCGATAAATCTGGATCTCTCACAATGTATTCGATTTACAAATTTCTACTTGGAAGTGGTCAATGGTAAAGGAATAAACCTCTATGTATACACATAATAAACAGAGTTATTTTGAGAAGCATGGCCATCCCTAGCAATAAAAAAGTATCAAAGTTATTAATTTGCTTGTTTTTTTTATTTAGTCGATTAACTCGGGAATCGCCGCCGTACATTTATCAATTCACAAACCTCAACGTTCACGTTTTTTCGAAGAATTTATATATATATATATTATATATATTTGTAGAAATTAATGAGAGTAGAAAAAATAAAGTGATAATGATTGTATACAACGACACTATCCCACAACAGTTCTATAACTCAAAAGTCTCTCGCATTATTATCATATACGAGAGTGGTCCGATAAGTACTTGGCCAATGGCGGCGCCATCACAAGCGAAATTTGCTGTCGTGTTATAATTTTTCGTAGGCAGCTACTGTTTTCGTTTGACCACGTGTCGAAACATGCATGTCTGTGGATTTAAGAAAAATGGGCAAAGTTTACTTGGTGATTCAATTCTGATTTTTGGACGAAAATCAAGCGATAAAATCAAAGAACGCTTGGCTGCTTTATATGATTACCTCGAAGTCCAAATTGGTGTAGCGAATTTCACTCAGGTGATCTAAAAACAGCTGCCATGGAGGATAACATTACTAAAGTTCACAATCTTATATTGACAGACGTCAATTGATTAATGATACACGAGAAAGCTGAGACAGCAAGTATCTAAAAAGACCGCGTATCTTGCTTAAAATATTGGGCATGAGAAAGCTGTCGGCTTTGATGATGAAATTACAATGACAACTGAACTACGAGCTACTACTTTATCCACCATATTATCAAGATTTGGCGGCATTTGGTTTTGACACTTGAAAAAGAAATGCTGAATTTCAAATCGAATTCGAAGATTATCGCCGCCTATTTTATAGACCGCCAGTAAATGAATTTTTGGATTGATTAAAAAAGTTGGAGCTTACTTGGATCAATTGTGTCGGGCTTAGAGGAGACTATGTACTTTAAGAAAATAAGTGGCTATCTTTCTAAATTTTTTTTTTTTTTTGTATCATTCAATTAAATGATATTCAACTTTCGTTTAGATTTGGTTTAATGATTTGAGATGACCTTGATATATTTATAAATGATTTTTGAGCAATAACTACAAAAACCTTAAATTACTTTGAAAAAGAAAATGCCAATGCCGCCCAAAAATATGTATCTGTGGCACCACTGCACAATTTATGTATTTTTCATTTTTAATACCAAAAATATTGACTTTAACGAACTTGTTCTTTTACATACTTAAATAAATAACCAAGACTCATTCATTTCGAAATCAACTTTTGCGTTACGCAACCAATAACATTGAATATTCATTTATATAAATCATGCCATGGCATTTATTCGCTTAATTTTCCCAACCACCGAGCGTCAATATTGACTTTACTGTAAACTCAAAATCAACTTTTCATGCCAGCAATTCAAATTCGATTTAAACGAAATTCAAATCCAAAAAGTTAGGAAAAACGAACGCAATGTAAAATATTCACTCGGGTAAATGCATAAACATGAATTGTGGGTGAAAATGGAATGATATTGAAGTACCTACGCCGTTCCGAGTGCCAACTTCGTGTTTGTGCCGAAAATTTTGCGCATTTCGAATTCCAACCGCCATAACCAATGAATAAATTTGGAAAGTGCGCGCATATTACTTATCAATTCTGCAAGATTTCCTATTGAGATGAGTGCGAGTGAGTTGAGTCTCATCGTGTTAAGTTGGTGTCGCAAGGCAACTGGGAGCCAGCAAGTTGCCGAGCAATAGTAACGGTAAAACGACAACTTTTGCTTAGCGCAACCCCTTCTACATCACTTCCGTTATCAAGCAGTTACTTTGACCAACTTTTTCACGTTTGCCAGCAAGCTTTTGCTCGGCGTATCAGTGTGCAAAGGAGAAAGTTTGTTGCGAAACTATTCCTGCAATTATATGAAATAATGCCGAAATCTGAAAATGAACGCCACGGTGCATTCGACTACCTACAAATAAGCGCATACATGATTCTACATATGTCGCAATGAGCTGAGAGTGGGTCCAGCTTCAGTTGCCACCCGAAACGGAAGTGAGCATGCAATTGTTTACTGTTTGGCGCAGCGCTTGTGGCAGCTTCAGCAACAGATATGGCATGGGTGCAACATGCGTGTGTAGAGCTAACAATCAGCAGGTGGTTCGGTGAGGTAGTGTGGGCTCAAGCACATACCAAATAATGTCTGCTGATTTTTGCATTGGTTTGTATTGGAAATTTTTAGTACTTCCGTACTTCGCGCCAGCAATTACACCGGAGGGGTTCAATTCGCCGATAAGGTAAGAAGTTTTGCATACATTAAAGTTAACGACGACCCTTCTCATTGCAAAGAAAGTTTTGAAAAATATCTATACACCTATATTTTATTATGATATGGTTGATTTGCTAGGATTGCAAGAATAATTTTCGACCTCAATCCTGCAGTATGATTAAGCTCTTCTTGTTACACCTTTTTATTAAAAACATACAACGCTTTTGCCCCTCAGATATGCTTGATTGGTCAGCACATATTTTAATGTTTCTGAATCCTTCCCTCCAAATGACTGCGGTGTTGTTTCGTGCTACGTAAAGCCCACCTTGTTGAGACGGATGTTAAATTTTTGTTATCTGCGGTACACTAATAATATTATAATTGCCTAGATAAAGGAATAGGAATAGTTTGGTCTCAACATGCCGGTTTTAACCAGAACTCTAAGGAACTCTAAATTTTTATTAATGTGTATGGCTGGACTTTGGGTAGTCGTAGTCTTGAATTTGAACTGAATTTTAAGCTTGAACAGAGGATGGGAACAGCTGCTAACAGATCGAAGATTTTATTGCTGTGCTCTTCACCAAATGTATAAGTAAATAGTTGTTTAAGCATAAGAATGAAAACTACATATTGGTCGAAGGGTTTGGACACTAAACTGATAACGACATTGAAATTGAAAGTGGTACGTAGTTCCAGCCCTTTGATTCACCTCATGCGAGGTAGGGCTCTTAAGGTAGGGCAGTCACATAAAGAGAGGGGCTGCTGCGTTTATGACCTTATGTAAAGGAATGCTCAGATGTGCGAGTGTATTAAGGAAGGCTAGGACATAGCATGCAATTGTCTTCCCAAATTTGTTATATGCACGCTTTTCAGCAAATTGTGTTGGTGGAACTATCAACTTTACAGCTTTTCAATAGAAAACTGATATGATATAAGCATTGTCGTTGAAGGATAGTTCATATCCTGATGAATACTTACACTTATCTGAAGGGGGGGTGTGTTAGACGCCAGGCCTTAGTGGAATCGTTTGAAACTGCAAAGTCGAATAGAAAAATTCAAGACAGCAACCGAGCTTGGTAAGCACTAGCCAATAAACCTTGTTAAGTGGAATCGTCTGGACACTTTTTCTTCAACACCACAGCTTAAGCTGGATTGAGGCCAGTATCGATGTTGGCCTATTCACCAGCTTTGTGATTAGCTCAAGGCGCTGCATCGTTACATGAGGATGTTTTGATCCATAGTATAAGTCACAAATAAGCTTGAGCGATGTTTGCGGATCCATTTCGGTTAGGTAGCCACGGGAATTTTTGTCCCGGTGGTTTTACAATGGGCCTCTTAAAGACCTAGGTGCGTCGTCAGACATCCACTCTACCTACCTACCTACTTAAGAGTTTATATCCACTTGCAAGTCAGAAAAAAGCGCGTTTTTCGTAACTTTTTTTTGATTAGTAAAATTAAAAAATGTGCTTACAGAATTTCATGTACTGTAATAATGGATCGGCAGTCGGCAATCCGAAAAAATTGTATAGCGGTAAAAAAGGCTTTTCTACTTAAAATTATCTAAAATTCAAAAACCAAAAAAAAATTATAATTACAATAGATGAATAAAGGTAAGGATCTAAACCCTAGTCAAAATTTTGATTTTAGACAAAATATAAGCTTCCCAAAAAGTTGCTTTTCCATTTCCTCAATTAAAGCCTGACAAATTTATCTAGCAAGGTCATGTAAAATTTTCAAGTGGATCGGTCCAGCCGTTTTGGAGAAATTATCCTCACAGACTCTGAAAAGAGATTTTCGAGAAAAACCACTTTAAAGTTTTGGAAGCCGATTACACTATGTTGTTGTTGTAGCGGCAGAAAACATTCCTTTTAAAGAATAATGGCGAGTTTACAGTCCTTGATCAGATAAAAGCCTGGGTCCGTTTCGGTTACTTAGACCCGACTGTCGTGCGAACGGATGATTACACTATGTTAAAAAATGCTACAAATACGCTCATATCTCCGAAGCTATTTGCCAGATCATTTTCGAGTTCGCGAAGAATATTTTCAAATATATGTAAGTAAATTCCATATATGCATATCCAATAATGTGGATTTTTTGAAATTCACAAGCGGATATAACCCTTTAATGTCAAATTTGCCTTAGAGGAATGGTGCTTTCATTAAACTTGTATCATAATACATATCACTCAATGCTTACATTACACTTTTCTTATGGAGTATTAAACCCATAAAGCAAAGTTTCAAAAAACTGTACAAAATAAATTTTTAATACTTCTTAATATTATTTGAATTTACAGTTATAAAAGCCAATCTAAATACATCTTTGCATATAAACAAATACACAAATATATACATATGTAAGTAAATACATACATTTAGTACTTATTAGACAGCAATAATGAAATTGAGTTTATAATTTTCCATTGTAATAAGATAAAATAGTTTACACTCTACTAATTCTAATTATATTCCTTAACTATATAATGGAAAATAATCAAACTAGCATATTTACTACGACGCTGAGGTGGATGGCCCTGCCTCCGTTGCAGCTTTCGCCTGATGATGCTTTGCCACTGCTTCCTGTGCTTTGCACAGTTTAATTTGTCCTTCAACTGCACGAGAACGCAATTCATTTTCCACCGATTTGTTTACAGTTTTTGAAATGGCGTTTTTTATCTTTTGTTGTTCATTGAATTTGGCCTTTTTAGGCTGTATGGGCGCATCTGTAAGAAAAAACATTATATATATTTATATATAAAGAAATATAAAGAATATTTTCTTGATTTATTGCAGTTGCAATGCTTCAATTTAGCACTTCCATTCTATGACCCACTTTACAGCAATACTCACTGGATCTTCTTGTAAATGGCTTCGCCGTTTTCTGCTTCTGTTTCTTTTGCACACTGGCTGGTAATTTGGCTTTTTTAAACTTTCCTTGCACCATTTTTATTTTAAAAAAATTTACTTCTTGTTTGTTTATATTTAAAAGCAATTAAGTGAAATGAGCACGTTTATCGCTTGTGTCAAAATCAGCTGTTTTTAGCTGGCAGTGTTGCCCATTTCAACAAAGGGTGGGGCATACTTTTAGGCGCTATGAGAAATATTCAAATTATTTAACCAGAGCAGAGAACGTTGATGAGTAGAGACAGAGAATGTTGATGAGTAGAGACAGAGAATGTTGATGAGTAGAGAAGGAGCAAATGCAGAGAACGTAAATGAATAGAGAAGGAGCAAATGTTAAATGAAAACTTTTTGAGTACTAATTTGTAATTCCACATGAAGGAACATCGAAAAATATAACTTCGAAAAAGAAAAATACACCACGCAATGTGCGAAATGCTATAAATAGACACAACGAATATTCCTATATGAAAAATCGTTGCGCATACCTATTTAGATTTATGTTTTCAATTTCTATGATATGACAAATTTATAATTATGAAAAGCCTTCTGAATTAAAAATCTGTATTATCGGTAAAAACCCCAGAATTCATAATAAAATAAACATTTAATAGGCTAGTTTTCCAACTTATGTATGTGCGTTATGTGAGCAATTGCTTATTAAACAAAGAATAACAATAAAACGGTGGCTAAGCGGCCACATTTCCACTTTTGTGGTGGCTGAGGTCGTAAGCGGGAAGGGGTTAAGCACAATCCGAATACGAACCTATACGTTCGAATCCTAAAACTCATGAAACTGAAATTTTATTTAATTTTTATTTTATTAATTGGAATCTAAGCATATCATAATTCAATTACTTTAATAGCATATTTAACTTCCTGAAATATTTTAATTATCTCAGGAAGTTAAATATGCTATTAAAGTAATTGAATTATGATATGCTTAGATTCCAATTAATAAAATAAAAATTAAATAAAATTTCAGTTTCATGAGTTTTAGGATTCGAACGTATAGGTTCGTATTCGGATTGTGCTTAACCTCTTCCCGCTTACGACTTCAGCCACCACAAAAGTGGAAATGTGGCCGCTTAGCCACCGTTTTATTGTTATTCTTTGTTTAATAAGCAATTGCTCACATAACGCACATACATAAGTTGGAAAACTAGCCTATTAAATGTTTATTTTATTATGAATTCTGGGGTTTTTACCGATAATACAGATTTTTAATTCAGAAGACTTTTCATGATTATAAATTTGTCATATCATAGAAATTGAAAACATAAATCTAAATAGGTATGCGCAACGATTTTTCATATAGGAATATTCGTTGTGTCTATTTATAGCATTTCGCATATTGTGTGGTGTATTTTTCTTTTTCGATGTTCCCTCATCTGGAACTACAAATTAGTACTCAAAAAGTTTTCAGTTAACATTTGCTCCTTCTCTATTCTTCTTCGCTTCTCTGTTTATATAGAAGCGAATATGTATTATATATTTATTGGTTAAACATATTTATGTATTTCATTCGTTTGTAGCATTTGTTTTTATATGATTTCTTAAATCTTTATATATTATTATCAACACTACTAAACATACATTTACATTAATACAAAATATTAGTTGACCACATGTCTCTCGAAAAAGCGAATAGTCGTAATTATAATTGTGTGCGTGTTGGCCCACTTTGTTCACCAAAAAGTAGTCCTTTGAGACTGAATTTTCAATATAACATATTATTTAGCTGTAATCATCTAAACATTTAAACACGTACATACAAACAATAAGTATAACAAATTAACTAGTTAACTTTGCTACAATAATGCCCGTCACAATTAATCCTATTATCACAGCGATTGCTAAAAGTATTAGAATTTTGCGACGATAGCTACGACGATGCTGTGAAGCCTTAGCTAATTCCTCACGTCCCAATTCCACGTCCGTAGCAGCGTTTTCAACGCTATTTTCGATATTTTCTGCAAAAAGTTGAAAATGTGATAAATAAAGGCTTAACAATATAACTTTGATATAAATTCCATATATGTACGTACCAACTTGTTCACCCTGAGTTTGTACAATATTATAAACGCGGCGCATGATCGCATTCACGTCCAGCACGTCAGCTTCAATCTGACGCAGCTGACGTTCGCGATCCACCAGCATATCTTGTTCGAATTGTAATCCAGCTGTTATTTGTTCCTGTTGCTGAAGAAATCCTGCACGCTCTGCTTCTGCTTGCTCATCCTGTTGTTGTCCCAACTGTTCAATACTTTGACGCATAGCCGCAGTGATTCGCTTCTGCACAGATGAATATTTCTCCACAACATTGCGAAAATCATTGGTCAACTTCTCCAATTGCAGCTTCTGTTGTTTGTCACCACGTCTAACAACTGCTGTTAATCTTTGTATATCACGACTGATCGTATCGATGCGCGTATTTGCTTCGGCATGTATATTATGTACCATGTCACGTGTAGCCTGCTGTTCACGGCGTGTACCAATTACTTTAAGTATTTTCTCCAATTGTCGTGAGCTTGAATTTACAGCACTGATATTTTGTCCAATATCTTCACTCAGCGACATGAATTCAGTTGGACTGAAACCCGAAAAACTCACATCTGGCATAATAGCATTGGTGCTACTCGACGTAGCGCCATAATCACGATGCCCAACGGGTGGATTGTTTAAATTGCGTGACATCACTGTGTTTCACAAGCGCTATGCGCACAAAGACTGCGTTAGAATTCAATGTAAGTATTGTGTGCTAGAAAAAAAATCAATGCAAGAACTTTATTAATACTCAAACAAAAAGAAGCGATAACTGAACTGAATTGCAATGGTTGCATGTATGTTTATAAATATATATTAGAAGGCAATGAAGACTGCATAGCAATTTAGAACAAATCAAGCTACAAAGCAAACACACAAGCCACTAATAAAAACGCCCGCAGCTCAGTTAATGATTCACTCAATAGTTAATACCACTCATATCAAATTCTAAGCTGAATTAATAGGATACACTGAAGAAATCTTATTTCATACTAATACGCTTCAATTATGAGACATGCTGCGTACATTGACTCTTTGTTTTCAGGCAGGCAGAGTTCATTGTCAAGATAGTCGTAGACTTTTATGGCTTCCTGTTAGTAGAAATACATATTTGCGTGTTAGCCCCACTATCTTTCCCAATCGATATATAAATAACAATTTAACTGTATTGCATATGCAACACAAGTTGTGCAGTTAATTGTTATAAATGTTATAGATTTTTAAGTTTGCCATATAGTTAATCTTTAAACACATTCCACCCAACTCCCCCTTTTGTTTGCTTTCCCTTATGTACCTCTTAAACTCCTTGTACTGCTTTAGACACTGCGTGCTTATTGAAAATAGTTTCGCCTACTGAATTTTGCACTTACCAACAGCGCACTTATCGATTAAAGCACAATGTGAAATTATTTACAGACTAAACAAGTTGGTACTTTTATGGAAAAATTCGTTGGCTTAATAATGATTGTACGATAGCAATGAAAATAAACCAATTTCCACACAAAAATACTGACACTTGGCGTTATAGCGTTGCCGTACTGCAACAAGTCTGAATAAGCGATTGGCCGCACTGGTCATTCCATGTAAGACAAATTGGAATGTTAGGAATTAAATTTATTAAAGTTATGTTTGCAAGAGAGAGAAATGTTCACATAAAATAGGCGAAGATTTAAAACTAAAAATAATAATTATATAATGACGTATTTATTTTACAATATAAAACTTTTAAAGAACAACAGTCAAAATTAAAACTTTAAAACTCATAGCATTATGTAGTTATTGTGAATTTCAGGAATAAAAGCTTTGTCCGACTTTTCTCAATAAAAGGCTTTTTCGACGCCCAAGATAAAGAAATTTACTGTTTAAATTAAAATTCTTACGTTTTTGTTAAAGACGAGACCTCTCGAAACTAACGAGATATACCCCACATTTCAGATCTGTCTAAAGTGTTCTCATCGCATAAAATAGTTTTACGAAACCTCCACGTAACGGGGATGGAAAATCCATGATACCGCCTATTTAAAATCTTTTTTGAAAACTTTTTAATTACATTCTTTATATAATATTGCTGAAAGAACTAAAGTGGATTATTTAAAAAAGAATAAATAAATTGGGCTTAAATTTATAAGAATGTGAAGATGGAATTTTACTAGAAATATTTATAAAATTAGTTTCAAAACTGTAATCAATTAAACATTAATTTTGTTGTATTGTCGTCACCTTAAAGATGTTTTAGAGTGAAACTTTTTTTTATCGTCTCAAATGTTCTCGTTCAACTATCGCATGTTGCATGTCTCATCACTATGGGTAATAATAAAAAGTTGTCTGCTGTGGGAGATTTTTGTGCACCTATTTGTCAAATTGATGATAACAGAAAACTTGTAATTGAGTTTGTTTATATTAAAGTAAATCAAAAAATATATAATACATTTTTGGGTTTTTATCTAACTACAATATTTTATATGGTGAATTCAGTACAGATTTTAAGAAAAGGTTCTAAATACTTAAGAGAAATATTTAATATTGATATTAAAAATGATAGAAATATGGTATTTTAACCTGATTAATAATTTAAATTATAATATCTTTATACCCTGAACAGGGTTTATTAAGTTCGCCCGGGAGTTTGTAACACACAGAAGGAAACGTCCGAGATCAAAATCAAGATCTTGCATTGTAACTTATTTATTTGTAAAGGGTATTCTAGCATCGATTCAACCGTTATTATTCTTTACGGTATTTCTATATTCATATGTGAGAAAATTTTTCTTTGATCACTTTAATCGAACAAAAGAAGTGAAGTTTGAAAGAAAGTGAACTAGGATACACATTATAACTGGAATATATCGAGCAACTTTCACTTTGCCGTAAATGTCTATAAGAACTAAATCCAAAGGTTCGAAGAATATGCGTAAATTTCGCTGCGAAATATTACAATTTATAGCTGAAAGTACAATTCCAGGAGCCTCTGAATATAAAACACTTAGATAAAAAGATATTTTGCTTCTACAGCTTTAAGTTTTTTATAAGGAAGTATAGGCTAAGAAAATTTTAATTGTCTGAAAACTAATCTACAAAATAATCGAAAAATTCTTTGAAATCGATTAATGGAACTGTAGTGTTGACGATACCGTACATAATATATCACTTTAAAGATTTATAATGCTGAGGATTGCACACAGTTATAGCCTAATAAAGTCTAGACTTTTGTAAAATTAGTTATTATGTGGACAATATGATTATTAAATAAAAAATTATTGGAAAGATAGACTGTTACTATCAGACGAAGAACTGCTTATTTCTGGCGTTTTTAATAATTAAAGTTCCTACATGGTCTGCGTTGCATGATTTCTTTTAGGGGTAAGCGTACGATCGCACCACCAAGTACAAAGCTTAAAAGCTCACATGCTACTCAATGGAGGGTAGCAAAGGAACTCAAAAATGTATGCAACGTGTTTTGAGTTTCTCTGAGGGTAGTTTACAACAAGTCAGCGCACATGTCAAGAGAGTCAATTGAGCAACAAGTCGTGCTGCCTTACCGACAAAACTGACAAAAGCCAACGCGCAAAGGTGTTTGCCAAAAAAAGCAAACAAAAAACAATTTCAAAACTACACAAACAACAACAAATACATGTGTGCGCCACTTGTAGATAACAAAAAGCACCGAAAGCTGCCAACGAAGAAGATACGCGCGCGCACTCCACACACTCGAGCGCCTGGCATTTCTTCTTTCTGCACGGCAAGAAGTTGGCGGCAAAGCAGCGGCGCGCAAACGAGCCGAAACGGCCAACGACAACAGTCAGTCACAATTCATCTTTCGCAGCAAACAAACGTTTAATAACAGCGCGTTGGTGCCGGTAGGAGCCACATCCACATATACACACACATGCATATATGCACATGAAAAGCACAGGCGAAAAGACAAAATAAAAAGTGCAAAATTGTGGGAAATTGTGCAAACAGGAATTTATCGAAAAATGTATTAAGCGCGTTAATGAGAAAGTGTTTGTGCGTCTCTGACCAATTGGAGTGCCTACTCGCTACATTTGTTGTGCCTTCGACGTACGTGATATTCTGCAGAATTTGAATTTCGAATTGAATCGAGGAAATATTTGTAGTTATTTTTAACCTGTCTACTCAAAAGTTGATAAAATAACTTAAAGTATTTAAGTTAATTTGTGTATGTTCGACATTTGTTGTTTTCTTATGAAACTGACAACGTAGTTTTAATAAAAAAAATTATTGTCCGTTTTGTGCTGTTGTTAGCCGCTACGAAACCGAATTCGTCCGAAGTTGTGTTGCAAACGCAGTCATCAGCAAAAGGTATAAAGTAAAAGATAAGCCCCCGAAAAAAGACAGCAATAAAGGTAGAATCAAATAAATTGACGGTTACATTTTGATATGCATACGAATTGAATGCTTCCTGCGCGCCCGCATAACAAAGCGTACGACCTCACTAGCACAGTCAGCGATAATAAAACGAACTACAACAATAAGAAAATAATAAAAACAACAACAATAAAAAATAACAATAAGTAGAAAATAGAAACAACATTAGAAAAAACAACAAAATAATTAGAAAAAAACAACAACAATAAGGAAAACAGCAATAATTGAAATTATAAAAAAAAAAAAACAACAACAACTAGAACCCAAAAAACAACAACAAGAAAACAGCAACAACAACAATTACAATTTTCACGGTCAACTTTCAAACGTCAAGCGGCATCAAGGAAGGTCCAATTAAGCCACAAAAAGCAAGCACCCAAACGGTCGACGCCTTCATACATTCGAATTGGAGTTGAAATTAGGTAAACATAATTTGCATACAAACAAATATATATAAGTATGTACATATGTACACATGCGCTTACAAGCACATGCATTTGGCCATATGTATATTCAATCGCTTTTAGGCCAACGTTTGGCCAAAGAAAGTGCGTAGGTATGTCAAAAATACAAATATAAAGCCATACAAACAAACATATTTATATACAGACACACAAACATCCACACATACATGCATACATATATATATACGCATAGAAGCACTTACATATGTATGTGGGTGTTGTCAAAGCAACCCACAAGAATTATTTCTAAGCCTGTTCTCTTCAGGCGGCTTAAACGCTGCCGCTTGTAATTCGCATTGTAAAAAGCTGTGTAGACAGTTACTTTCTTTAGGCGACACTTTAACATAGCAGCGACTTGTTGCTTTCGCCAATTTTTATATGGCATAAGTATGGTATACAAAAATAAAAACAAAAAGCAATACCAATGTGAAAGAAAACTTAGCGATTGAGTTGTAGAGTGTAAGTGCTGCTGCTTCCGGTGTTAAAACAAATTAATTATATTCATATTTGGCTGGTCGACTGGTTAATGAAGTTGTCAGAAGAATTGCACAGAAATGTGGAAATAAAATTAGAAAATTGCTGCTGTTTGTGCGATAAATTGCTTTTCGAAAGATCAGGATTATTCCTGTGAAATTTATGCCCGCTAGATGGCGCCAGAGACAAAATTTGGACTAAAAATTGCGTTTCATGAAGCGATTCGAACCATTATCGTAATGTACCAAAAAAAACTGTGCTGCTAGAGCAAAATTCTTGCCAAAATTCCTTTATCATGGCTTCAATAAATTGGTGGCGCTGGAGTGAAATTATTCTCAAAAAACCACATTTCTGGTCCAATTGCTGACGTCATAGTTATAATGCACTTAAAACCGTTATATATTGTTGATAACGGTACTATCTTCGCAGAAAAAATTTCCACTAGGTTGCGTCATTTTCAGAAATTGAAATCATGATCTGATATCAACGAGCTGTTAGCTTTGTGATACTTTTGACCCTTTTAGTACAGCTGAATTTATCAGTTTGGAGTTTGACACACATTGTCAGTTTAATATTTAAAATAATACAGAAATTGTGCACTTAGTAACAATTCCTTCAACTTCCTTTAAGCGATAACAGTATTTGAAATTTATAAAGACTTTGACATACATACATACATATGAACAATATAATTGGAAAATAATATAAATATATTTCATTTATAAGAAAAATATGGGCCGACAAAGGGTTGTATGATTCATAATAAATACTTTTTTCAAGTGAAGTGTAATCAGCTCATTTGAAAATGTGGTTTTTTGCGAAATAATTATATTAGAATTATTATTAACAATACTTCTTCAATAACTTTGCGTTTATAATTTATTTACAAGTGTTTTATCGGTATTAAAGATAGTGTACTTTATGTTGCTAAATTGAAAAGTATCGTTCACATATTTGCCCTCTACAGTAGTACATATGGTATGTACATATATATGTATTTGGCCATTGATAATCAAAACAAGAAAAAACGTTAACTTCGAACAGAAGCGATAATACCCTTCATAAATACAAAAGATTTCTTACAAGCACTTGATTCCAATCGTTCAGTTTGTATGGCAGCTATACGCAATAGTGATCCGATCTGAACAATTCCTTCGAAGATTTCACCACTGTTCAGGGTATAAAAAATACCCAAACTATCGTGTGACTTTCAAGATTAAAATC